ATTTTAAAGGACTTTTATTTTTCACTTTTTGTGCCTGGCACGAAAAGTGTGCATTCAGTAAATATCTGTTGAATAACTATACCCCCATTTTATTGATGAGAAAATTGAGGCTCAGGAAGATAGTTATGTACGTAAGTCACACAATTACTAAATTAAGGTTCAAAGCCGGATTCAGTATTTTTTCTTCAACTATAATGTCTGAAATCATTTCGCTATTAGCTGAAATTTGGAAATCATTTTATTTTGGTGCTATCAAAGTAATTGTTCTGAATGTATAATTTGTACTTGTCCCTAAATTTTATTTAAGTCAGAAATAGAAAAAAATGGGAACTGTCTTAAAAGGAATAGGTTGGCTAATAATACTCCAGATGTGTAATGAGTTTAAAAAGCTTTATTTTACCATTCTGAGACAAAAGGAGACAGAACTTTGAATTTTTAAATTAGATTTAAATTTCAAAGTAATGTAGCAAAAAAAAAAAAAAAGGAAGAAAAATCTAAACCTCTCTCACATGAGGGAAAAAATTAAAATAGGACTATTTTAATTGCTACTATGCAGAAGATGCTGCAAATTATACATAAGCTATCCATTCATTAAAGCAGACACACAATGGCCTTTTTTTAAGCTGTAGGCTGCCATTTGGTTCAAATTACTGTGAAATTCTAGAAAACAAGAAAAATGCTTTTCTCTAAAAAAAAAATCTATAGTTCAAACTACTTCCCAATTAGCATGAAACACTAATGTATTAAAATAGCAATGTAAAGCATTAAAACAGTGAGATTGTATCTTTCTGCAAAAGTCTAAAACACATCTATAATTCGACAAATATACAGTTTAAGAAACTAAAATGTAATTTACTTTCTTCTGCTGACATTTTTCCAGAATATTTATATTCCCTATGTAGTCGCTACTCATTCTTTCAAACATAAACTGAACTCATTGTATGAAAATATTTGAAAGCTGTAAAATTCAATTCACTTAGAACGGCAATAAATTGCAAAATAATATTCTCAACTAAAAACTTAGAAAGCAACAATGTCCTAGAGCCATTTGAAGATCAAGTTTTTCCTCAAGGAAAACTCTTGTCAATTTTTAAAACTGTTTTATCAATCAGATTTTTCACCTGGCAAGAATAAAATGTAAAGAGGACAAAAATTCTGGAATTTAGCTAGAATTTAGTTTCGTATTTTCCCATTCACTGCATAAAAATAATGGAGATCAATCAAAGCGCAGTGTTTTCTTTTGCCCATCTTAGTATGAAAACTCATCTACAGGAACATTTAGTCAAAACTCTTGAGTTATAAGGGTTTGATGGTAGTCTAGAGTAGGTGAAATTCAGAGATAAAAATATACAATTTCATTTTAACCAAGAGCTTCAATTTCCTTCTACACTAAACATTTCATCAGGAGCTTACAAAAAGGTTGTAGATCTTTCCCTCCCCTGAATTTTTAAATTATTTCAATAAACATCTTCTGAAACATTCTATATAAAATACACTTTGCCAAGTATTTGCACATAGCTTTATTTTAGCTAATGCTCATATCAAACCCGTGACTAAATTTTCACTTTACGCATAACTAAACACAGCTTAGAGAAGCTAAGTAACTTGCCCCTGGTTACAAAGCTGTCAGAGGCGAAGTCTGCATCTGAACTAAGGTTTTTAGACTACACAGCTGTAGCCTATCACTTTATTTGATAATCATATACTGCCACCTTATAATACATTGTACTAATTTTCACTTTATATTTCTTAATTTTTCCTTTGTTCATGTCTTTAAAAGCAACAATTGGCCTACGGCCATGTCATCCTGAACAAGTCCAATCCCGTCTGATCTCAGAAGCTAAGCAGAGTTGAGCCTGGTTAGAATTTGGATGGGAGACCACCTAAGAAGACCAGGTGCTGTAGGTGTAAAATAATAAAAAAACTAAAAATTAAAAAATAAGAGATTGTAAACTGACAAGGTCCTTGCAATCTGTGAGGCCAACCAAGGGTTGCTTAACCTAAAAAAAAAAAAGAAAGAAAAAAAGCAACAACTGTATTGGGCTTTAATATCTTAAAGTATCCTTTAGCAGAATGATTCAAGTTGCTTGTCTGATAGAATGACAGACTACAAGTTTTAAATTTCTCAGAGGCTCACACTTGTAAAATGGAAATGATACCAAAATAATTGAGAGCCTACTGTAAATGCTTTCCATGTATTAACTCATTTAATCCTCACAACCCTATGAAATCAGTACATTATTGTCCCATTTTGCAGATAAAAAAGCTAAAGGCTAAAGAGGTTTTCTAATTTGCTCAAGATTAAGGTTCCAAGTTAGTAGGTGGAGGAGTTAGGCTTCAAAAGCCAAGGTATTCTGTCTCGAGTGGTTACTTGCTTAATGTTCAAATTGTCCCTCCAGGAGTAGATAATGACAAATAAATGACATCATGTATTCATATAGTAGGAAGTGTCAAAAAAATTTAACTCTAGGCAATGGTTTCTTAGATATGACGCCAAAAGCAAAGGCGATAAAAGCTAAAATAGACAAATGGGATTAAAAACTTCTGTGCATTACAGGACACAATTAACAGAATGAAAGACAACCTATAGAATGGGAGAAAAAACACGCAAATCATCTAACTGAATATATAAAATATATAAAAAACTTCCACAACTCAACAATCAAAAAAATACAAATAACCCAGTTAAAAAACAGGCAAAGCACTTGAACTGACATTTCCCCAAAGATGATATTCAAATGGCCAACAAGCATATAAAAAGCTATTCAATCATCACTAATCATCAGAGAAATGCAAATTGAAACCATAATGAGATATCACTTCACATTTGTCCGAATGACTACTATCAAAAACAAACAAGCAAAAAGAAAATAAGTGTTGGTGAGGACGTGGAGAAACTGGAACTCTTGTGCATTGTTGGTAGGAATGTAAAATGGTGACACTGCTGTGGAACAGTACAGAATTACTACCAATATGATCCAGCAATTCCATTTCTCCATATCTATCCACAAGAATTGAAAACAGGATCACAAAGAGAAATTTGTAAAGCCATATTCATAGCAACATTATTCACAATAGCCAAACTATAAGAACAACTTAAATGTTTACTGACAGATGGACAATGAAAATGTGGGATATACATGCAATGGAACATTGTGCAGCTTTAAAAAAGAAAATCCTACTACATGCTACAACGTGGATGAACTTCAAATACATCATGCTAAATGAAATAAGCCAGTTAAAAAAGACAAATACTACAGCAGGTCCTCGAATAACATTGCCTTGTTCAGCTTCATTTTATATATAATGTTGATAAGATGCTGTAGGAACTTAACTCTTGTTTATACTAATTAGCCTATGGCCAATGTGGTTTCATTACAGTCATTTCACTTAAAGTCACAAAGCCTATAGACAACATTAAGTGGGAGAATTGCTATGTATGATTCCACTTATATAAGGTACCTGTAGTGATCAAATTTTAAAAGAAAGTGGAATGGTGGTTGCCAGGAGCTGGTGGGTGGGAAAAATAGAAAGTCGTTTAATTGGTATAGTTTCAATTCTGTAAGATGAAAAATTCCAGAGATCTGTTGCACAACGATGTGAAAACAATTAACACTCCTGAATTGTACACTTTAAAATGGTTAAATTGGAAAAAAAAAAATTAAATTGGTTAATTTTATGTGTTTTTTGCCACATTAAAAAAAAAATTAACTCATTTCTTTCACTTCCCCTTCCTGTCTTCTCTGGCATAGTATTCAATAGCAATGAAAGGATAGAGAAAATCAAAGAATACAAGAGCTTCAGCAATGTAGAAACAAATTATGAAAGCAATAATAAAACAAAACACGTAGCCGCACATTCTTTTCAATAATTTTCTTCTTAACCTAGAAATACCTTGAACCTTCAACAAAACAGTATCCTATTGGAAAGGCAATAGAGAGTAGCGATTAAAGGCCTTTTGGAGCTGGAAAGCTCAAGTACTATTATGACTTTGCTACTAATTTCTGTGTGACCTTGGCTAAGATACTTTCATTCATTCATCCATTCATCCATTCATCCATTCATCCATTCATCCATCCAATGGTCCATCCATCAAAAAGGCAGTCTGTTTCCCTACTAGTAAACCTGGTCAAATGAATCCTGTACCTCTACATAAGATTGTTTTGAGGCGTAAATAAAGTAATTCATATATAACACTAGGCACAAGACCTGGCACTTTGTAAGTGCTCAATAAATGTTGGCTATTATTATTACTTTAAAGCATAGAGATCAGGACATGAACAGGGTGAATATAACTAAAAGAAGTTCCTTAGAGATGTACCCATTTGTGGATAATTTTGGTGTTATCAAATCAGACACTACTTAATAAATCACCACCTACTCTTTATCATTCTTGCCAAATTTATGCTTTTCTCTTCTAAATGAACTCCCTCCCAGGGAAAAGCAATTGTTATTTCAGGCATTCGAAAATGCTTGCTTTGGGAACAATGTTCTACCCCAGAGATGGTGGAACCTGAGACCTGTACCTTAGCGACTAGAGTTCCCAGTTCCTCTCACTTCATTAGGGGCCTAGGCCTTATTTGGGAGTGAGTATAGGTACAGGGAGGGCCGCAGAACCAAAATCCCAGATATAACGCCGACACTCTGGTGAGACTGAGACAAGATTAGACAAATATCCCAGGCACACTCTCCCGAGAGAATGGCAGCCAGACATTCCCGAAAACGGATCAGAAAGCCGGCAACTCTCGCCGGTTAGCTGAGAGCCGGCATCTTACAGGCAGGGGGAGTCTCGGCAGCCCGTCCCGGGCCCTCCCGCAGCCCGGCCCGGGACGGTTGGGGCAGGAGCTGAGGTGTGTTGGGATGCTCTCCCCAGGGTCCCGCCGAGGGGTCGGCTGACCCGCGGCCCCGCCGGCTCCCGGAGGAGTGATGGTGGGGTCGGAGGCGGGCTACGCGGCAGTGTGGGGTACCAGCAGGGAGGGAAGGGACATTGAGGGCCTCACCGCGGGCCGACGGCAGTGGATAGAGCTTCTCGGCCTTCTGCAGGAAACGCTGGGCCTTCTCGCGATTACCGGCGTTCAGGGCCTCCCGGGCTATTTCGACACATTTCTCCGCCTCATCCCGGTTCCCCTCCATGGCTTACACCTTCTTCCGTTTCCTCCGGGAGCGCAGCTACGAGGGGCGGAAGCCACCGCCGAGGAGGCGAGGCCGGCCCGGGCGGGGGCGTGCGGAGGCGAGCGGGG